TATATATATATATATATATATATATATATATATGTATATATATATATATATATATTAGTAAACCTACTGATTGCTGCAGCTGAGACGCTAAAGACAAAGTAGGCACGCGAGGTCCAGAAACACTCCAAGATAGGCCCCCCAATATGCTGCTGCTGCTGCTGCTGCTGCTGTTGCTGCTGCTGTTGCTGCTGCTCCTGCTGCTCCTGCTGCTGCTGTTGTTACTGCCGGGGAGCGTTATCAGCACAGGCGGACGATGCCTGGACAACGAAGAAGGCAGCAATGGGCCCACCCCCCCGCGAAGAACGAGCGCAGCTCGCTGCATCTTGCTGCTGCTGCTGCTGTTGCTGTTGCTGCAGCCGCAGCTGCTGCTGCACCTGCTGCTGCTGCTGCCTCTGCAACTTAAACAGGCCTGCGGCTACTGTCGCGAAGCAACAAAGGGGCGCAGCGTCTTTAGCCCCATCGCAACTCTAAGCTGTTGAGACCTCAAGGCCAGCTGCCACGCCGAGCAGCAGCAGCAGCAGCAACTGCTGCTGCTGCTGCTGCTGCTGCTGCTGGTGCGCGTACAACGGAGATCTGCAGCATGTCTAGTGCTTATTTCTTTCTTCTTTTTTTGTTTTATTTCTGTAGAAGGCTACTTCGGGGCCTTGCGCATGCAGCCCCAAAGCAGAGTCGTCATCTGCAGCAAAGCAGCAAGGCAGCAGCTGCTGCTGCAGCAGCTGGCCGCGTGCAGCAGCAGCAGCAGCAATGGAGACCTTAGAGCACGGAGTTGAGATAAAACATCTGTCGGGAGCGAGGTAAAGCCCCCTAAACTCTCTACTCTTAATTCTCTGCACACCAGCAACCAACCTGCTGCTGCTGCTGCTGCTGCTGTTTCGGCGGCGGGATGCTGCGCTGCAGCAGCAGCAGCAGCAGCTGTTGCAGCACAAGCGCTACCAAAGGGTGCATGCATTGGTAGGTTTGTGTCTTTTGTGTTATTGTCTTTCTCTGCCCAGTGCCGCTGTAGCAACAGCATCCCTTCACTGCAGCAGCTGCTGCAGCAACCTGCTCCTGGCTGCTGCTGCTACTCCAGTTGCTGCTGCTGCATGCGGAGACCTCCTTCCAGCGGTCTTCAGCAGCACCAGCAGCAGCTTTTGCCTTCGCTATGTATTTTCTGCTGCACCAACATCTGCTGGTGCTTCTTCTTTACCCTGAAGCAGCAGCAGCAGGCGTTGTTTGCCTCCTTGCTTAGAGGAGGGAAGCTGCAGCAGCAAAAGCAGCAGCAAAAGCAGCAGCAGCAGCAGCAGCAGAAGCAGCAGCATTATCAACAACCTTCATCCTAGCAACGCGGCCAGAGCGTGGGGTGTACAGACACCTGTACCCTCTGCTCTCTTAGCCGCAACGAGAGAACAGAGCGGCGCCTCTCAGCAGCAGCAGCAACAGCAGCAGCAGCAGTAGGAAGAGCCAAAGACAGCGCTAGAGGCATCAGCAGCAGCAGCAGAAACGACAGGAGTGGCTGGGAAACGACTCCGTTTGCTGCTGCGCTGCAAGGATGCGATGCCGCACCGCTGCTCCGTTCTAACAGCGGGCTGCAGCAGCAGCAGCGGCAGCAGCAGCAGCAGCAGCCGCTTGACCCACTCGGACTCTGCTGCTGCTTTTGCTGCTGCAAGGAGGGCCGCAACTGCATGCGCCAGAGGCAGCAAGCGCGGCAGCAGCAGCAGCAGCAGCGCAGCAGGCTGCCGAGAGATGTTATCCTCCCTCTCCCTCATCCACTGCGGCCAGCTTCGCACTCCAGCAGCAGCAGCAAGAGCAGCAGCAGCAAGAGCAGCAACAGCAAGAGCAGCAGCAGCAACTGAATCTATTCGACGTGGTTTTTTTCCAGCAGCACGCCGCCGTGCGTGTAGCAGCAGCAACTGCAGCAGCAGCCTCGGCCCTCAGCAGCAGCGGCGGAGGTGGAGGCTGCCTCTAGGATTGCTGCTGCTTTTTGTTTGTCATTTTCTGATTCCAACAGCGGCAGCAGCAGCAGCAGCAGCAACGGGGAGGACCGTTGCTGCTGACGCAGCTCTAGACGCGCCCTCAGCAACTCCCAAAGAAGGGGTGCAGCAGCACTGCAGCAGCAGCAGCAGCAGCAGCAGCAGCAGCAGCAGCAGCGGCAGCAGAGGGTGTGATGGATCTTCTCTGGTCTCCCCGGCTTTCTTTGAAGCAAGAGGCCACACAGACGTCGCAATAGCAGCAGCAACAGCAGCAGCAACAGCAACACAAGCTGCAGCAGAAACTGCAGCAGGAGCAACAGCAGCAGCAGCAACAGCAGCAGCAACAACACCCATGGCAATCCCGCCAGAGTCCCCCTCAAGTGATGCTGCCGTGCAGCAGCAACGACTGCATCAGCAGCAGCAACACCTCGAGCGGCAGCAGCAGCAGCTCCAGCAGGAACGGCTGCGGCTGCAGCAGCAGGAGCGCGACCAGGATGAGCAGCGTCAGCAGATAGCAGAACAGTTGCAGCTGCTGCAGCAACAACAGCAGCAGCAGCAACGGCTGAATGCTCGCCTTCGGAAGCAGCTTCTGCTGCTGCAGGAGCAGCAGCAACAGCAGCAGCAGTTACTGCAGCAGCACCAGCACACCGACAAACGCAGGCTTGGAGCTGCAGCAGAAGCTTCACCCTCCGGTGCAGCAGCAAGACACAAAGCAGCAAAGGCATACAAGAGCCAGGTCCTGAACAGAGTTCGTCGCAGCAGGAAGGAGCAGCAGCAGCAGCAGCAACAGCAGCAGCAGCAGCTGAAGCAGTATTTCCTGCAGCAACTGCTGCTGCAGCAGCCGCAGCAACGCGATCAGGCTGCGCTGCAGCATCTCGTTGATGCTGCTTCTTTCTCTGCTGACGTGACGTCGGACTTGCAGCAGCAGCAACAGCAGCAGCAGCAGCAGCTGTTGCTGCTGCTGCAGCAGCAAGAGGGGGACTCACTTTTTTCCTGCAGCAGCAGACCTCGAGCGCAGCGGCGCAGCAGCAGCGGCGGATCTGCTGCTGCAGCCTACCCCACGCGAGAGCCTTCTGCTGCAGCAGCAGCAGCGTCTGCTGCTTCTTCTGCTGCAGCAGGCGGGGTTATAGCTGCGCAGCAGCTGCAGCAGCTGCAGCAGCAGCAGCAGCAGCAGCCATCCTTCTGTCTCCCCTTTGTGACGAAGTGTAGACCCCGCCACGCCCGCGCGTGCGGTGTACGTACACCTCACAGCAGCAGCAGCAACAGCAGCAGAAACAAGCCAGCAGGTATACGCAGGAGAAGGGCTCCGAAGAGCAAGAGGAGCAGCAGCAACCGCAGCGACAGCAGCAGCAGCACTGGCGACCCTCCGCTAGGCAACAGCCGCCGTAGCAGCAGCAGCAACGA